ATTAGGAGGTCGGGGACTGTGAAATGGTTTTTAGGAGTGCAGCCATCAAGAGTTTGATTTCTCAAGAATTCCTAGCTTTTTGGTTTAGCTGACCACTCTGCCTTAAATGCTTGTTCCTTATTGTTTTATTTCTCCTAGATCTAGTAAAATACATGTCTTCTCTGCCTAATGTGCCAGTTCAGCTGTGCTCTGCAGTTAGGGAGGATGTTCTGCCATCACTCCTGTTGGCCTCACTCTGAAAGAGTTGAGACAAGATCCTTGTTCCTGAGTGCACATTTGCTGTCAGAGGTTGTTATTTTTCTTCCCTCTCGAGAAGGAAGTGTTCTCCTGGTCTAGTTACCTCCATGCAGTTAACCTGTCTTGGTGTATTAGCTGCCTGATTTGATTATTGAAGGTACTTAAGGATTCTGCCAGGCTTCACTTTGTACTTGGAGTTTTCAACTTCCAGCGCAGCCTAAATCTTGGGATGATATTCTTTGATTTGAAAGCAAACTTGAGCTCATTCCTTTAAAGAAAGGGCTTTCTTGGTAACCAAAAGTGAAATCCAGACACTGTTACTGAATTGTTTTCTCTTTTAGGGTTACCTTAGTTCCTACCCAAGATTGTAATGAAATTTGGCAAGCATATGCCAGTGTGAAGCCAGCAGGTTACCTGTTAGTATTCTTCCTTCATCCTTTTGCTTGGGATTTGGGACATCTTTGCTGGTAGGTGAGAATAGTTCCATCACTTATCTCACACAGAAGTAACTGGCCTACTACTTGCACAGGTGTCATGGAAGCTTTTGGAGAGAAAACATTTCTAGTAGGACAGTTTTTAGTCATGTGCCTGGAATGTTCTGGGGAGCTTCCTGCAGGTGATGCAACGCTAAAGCCCCACTGGGGAGCGCACACAGGGATGAGCGATCTGAGAAGGAGGCTGCTCATCAGTGTTCAGGTTCTTCTCCAACACAAATTGCCTTCACCATGCCCTTGCTTTCTTTGTTGAAGTTCTTGGAACTTTGAGGCTGAGAAATGCGCCTCACGCTTACTGCCTGCTCCCAAGTCTGCTGGGAAGCATGAGGCAAAGCGATCATATTAGGACTACCATGCAAGCTTTTAAAATGAAAGACAAAAACCCCAACAAACCAACCACAAACCTCCAGGGCTGACTGCTTGTTGCACACGTGTTAAGGTGAGAATTCATCCCTGCCATGGCACACAAGAAAGGTGCCATCACAGGTGAAACAGAACTTTCTTCTGTCCCCTCCTAACCAGCCATGACACTTGCTTCAGGATCTCTTCAGCACCATAACAAGGCCTTCTTGATGCAAAGAAGGGGCTGAGCGTGGAGCTCAGGGAGGAATTTTCCCCCGGGCAGATTGGCACTGGTCTCAGGGCTTTTTTGCCTTTCTCTGGGCATCGAGCAGGACCACTTGTCAGGGCTCCTTTGGTCCATTCTGGCTGCATTACAACCTGATGCTCATGCACCACGGAGGTGGCCCCTTGTGTCCTTGCAGCTGGGGGGGAAAAGGCTTTTTAGCCTCAACAGAGGCCTGCGAGTGTCCCAGGGTTTTTTTGCCTTCCTCTGCAGCAGTGAGCACAGCCCCTTCACAGGGCTCCTTTGGGCTGTTGTTGTGGGCCAGAGGCTGCTGCTCCTGCTCCACGCAAGTGGCCTCTTGTGCCCCCACCCGGGGGGAGGAAGCTCTCACAACTCCCAGGGTAGTAGGCTCCGGGAGTTGCTGCCTGTCCTCGGTCACACTGAGCACAGCCCCTTGTCAGGGGTCCTCTTTGGGCCCAGTTCTTGCTGCTGCTCTCGCACCTCCAGGGCACCGCTCATGCCCTGGCTCCCTCTGTCCCCTTGCCCAGTGCAAGCTTAGAGCAGGAGTGAGCTCTGCTCTTCCCTTGGCTTTATTTCCCTTGGGGTTCTGGCTTGTGCACAGCACCCTGTGCTTGGAAGGTGCTGATGCTTGTGAGCATCAGCTCTGGAAAAAAGCAACCAACCCAAAGTAAAGCCCCGCAACATCAAAATAATGTAAAATGACAAAAAGATAACATAATAAGAAACCAAACCAAAATAAAATGGAATCATAAAATAAAATCCTGTTTCCACTTGTAAGCTTTGTGATTTGCGTCCTTGAAAGTGTTTTTGGAGCTGAAAAAACTCCAAGGGTTATGGAACTCCAAGGGACAATGGAATTGAATGGAAAGGGATGGGATGGAACGGAACAGGATGGAGTGGAATGGAATAGAGAGTTGTGGAATGGAATGTATCAGAATGGAATAGAATAGAAATGGAACACCTATTTCCAAAAGAAGACAAATGGTCCCCATGCTTCCTGCTTTTGCTTGGCTTGGGTGACCCAGGCAGGAACTATTCTTACATCCCTTCCCTCTGCCAAATTCCAGCTTCATTTATCTTGCTTCCCATTGGAGTCAGGAGACTGTGATGCCTCCTAAGTGCCCGTGCCTTCCCTGCCTCCTGCCCGCACTCACTGCTTGAGTCCCCCTCTCCTCTCTCAGGTGACCAACAAGAAGGGTGTCATACTCAAAGAACTGCAGCTCCTACACAAAGCAGATGAACTGCGTGTCCCAGTCTGCACAGTTCAACCCCACTCTTCCTCTCTAAGCTTCCCCCCTGCTCCAGGTAAACCTGGGCTGTGTCTGCTGTCAAAGCAGCTACAGAAACACCTCCCTGTCCAGCTCCGCGCTCGGCCCCTCCCCACGTTAAAGTCATGTCCCAGTTGTGGTTTGCATCAAGAAGGCCTTGTTGTGGTGCTGAAGAGATCCAGAAGCAAGTGTCAGGGCTGGTTGGGAGGGGACAGAAGAAAGTTCTGTTTCACCTGCGATGGCACCTTTCTTGTGTGCCATGCTGCAGGGACACTTCCATTTTTCCAGGCAAGCGTTCCCATGCGCTGGCTGTCAGCATGTCCAGATGCCTTGCACGGAGCTTCCCCAGCTCTACAGGTTTCCCTCTGGGGGCAATATCCGAAATACACCAGCCCCCAGTAACTCACTGTGCGATTCAGAAGGACAGGGAACACCAAGACATGGTGGGATCCCAGTGCAGCATCCTCGGTGGAAGGCCTTTGGGGTTTGATGTCCATTAAACGTGTGATGGGATTGTAAACTGTCACTTCTGGCTTTCTCTGAGCTCCACCACACCTTAGGAAACGTGTGCTGTCCAAAAGAGAGGAGGTGGTCAAATTTGGTTCTGTTGGGAAGATTAAATCACTAAAGCCCCTTTACAGGACTTTGAAGAGCCTCACTTAATGTTTTTGTGCCCCTTACTTGAAAGCAGAAATGCGCAGAAGCTGGTCGAAGTGGTGGTAACCTCTCTTCGTGTGTCAGGGAGTGCCAGGGGTTATAAAGTTGCACTGTTTGGAAAGTGGAATTCAAGCAGGAATTACATGGGTAGAACAGCTACACCAGGGAGACTGGACACTGACCGAAGTAAGTGACCACGAAGCAGAGTATTCTCAGGCCCACAGCGCACAAAAACGCTCTCCAAAGCAGAATTTCTTAGAGCCATATGCCCTGGGGTATGAATGAAGCACAGCACTGCTTTGGAGGACTCTCGGTGTATTTAGCATTTTACAGAGTAGTGGTCCAGACAATCTTGCCTGAACACATCCTGATGATGGAGGCTCCTCTCTCTGCAGTATCACCGAGTGGTTTAGCAGAGACACCAACTGAGCAGAGCAGAGGCTCCGCACAAATCAGTCAGTAAGGTCTGGAAAAGGAGGAGAGATTATAAGCAGGAAAGGATGCTCTGTTGCTACACTTACTTGTCCTTAAGCACCTGATTCGGAGACTGTGTGTTTTCTCTGGTGCTGTGGGGGCACTTGTGTGAAGCAAGTGCTGAGCACTGTAAGCCTCCCGCACCGCTGCCTTTACAGACAAGTATTGCTTTCTTGTCCTGAGTGAATCGTGGTGAGCGCGGCCCTCTGCCATGGCTGCCGCTCCTCACTGCTCCTCTCCATGAGAACTACGCTGTTTTCATTTCCTTTTTCCTTGCTGCATGTCTGCTTGCCTTGGAGAGCTCTCTCAGCACCACAACCACCCCAGGGAATAGTACAGGCATGGGGAGGAGTGGCTGGAAAGCTGCTTGGTGGAAAAGGACCTGGTAGTGTTGCTCAACAGCCGGCTGAACAGGAGCACCTTGTGCCCAGGCAGCCAAGAAGCCCCCAGCATCCCGGCCTGGATCAGCCCCAGTGTGGCAGCAGGGCCAGGGCAGGGACTGTCCCCCTGCGCTGGGCACT